TCTCCATTTGTCTTTTGAAGTAAAAAGCCTCTTTGGCTCAGAATTTCTAGGACCTAGTTTATTTCTTCATTACTTCTCACCTTTTGGGTCATGTTAACATCCCAAGCCTCAAACAGCTTCGGAAACTCACCGGCCGAGTGGAACAATCTCATCATAAAAATCTCATTTTGGTATCAACTACCTCCAGAACCACAGTTCCCTCGGGACTTGAGATAGTTGCTCTGTTGAAGTTCTGTCCTTCACAGAGTTGTGAACATTCGCTTCTTGAAGGTAAGCTTGGTGTTCTAAGGCGGATGCTGGGGAGTCCCCACAAAGGATATTCCTGGAAAAGTGTCTGTTCCCTTTTGATTCTCACACCATCTCTCTTTCCCTCCCCATTGGGCTAAGGTTGCAATTCTGGAGACACATAGGAAAAGTTTCTAAACTCATCCTGATTAATCATAGGCAGGTGTCCCTCATCAATGGGAGTTAAAATTGGCTCTTCTTTTATGAAGTCAGGGTCAAAATTACTGACATCCTCTCGGGATTTCTGTCAAAAAAGGAAACAAGGGTCAGATTTTATGCACTTGAGGCTTGCTCATCTTGCATGGGACTCAGTCCATTCGAGCAAGTTTGGAGAATTGCTCTGCAGCTTGTTCAGGAGCATTATTTACAGTTATGATCATTATGATTAAACAGTGCTTTATAGCAATTCCACTGCATTGTGTATTATTATGGCATTTGGTAACTACCAATTCACTAATCCCATGAAAATCTTGCTGAGCAGGCCAGCCTTCTACTGGGAGGCTGAGGAATTAATTTGATCACCCAAACCAGCTGGCTCACTCACCCTTTATTCTCCATTTCATCAAGGTGCTACTTCTCAGCAGGCCTCACCGAGGGGCACAGGGGCTCAAATTTGTCAATAGGGGTTGGGTAAGGTCACACTGGTTTGTACACAGTTCTTTCTACACACTTGAAGAGTGTTCTTGAAAGACTTCTTGGAAATGTTAGGCTTAGGAGAAAACTGCCTGTGATTTTACTCACCAGTCAGATGCATTATACCCTGCTGGGCTGGCTGTGCAGTCAGGACTACAGGTGCCAGCCTCTGACAGCAAAGCTTCCCCTAATCTCAGAGGAGCTGGCAGGGGGATGCCCACTAAAGGACATGGCTTTATTTCCAGCTGCTTGGTGTCCAAAGCCTAGCATATGAAGCTTACTTTTTGTTTGGAAAAGTTGTGTATTTTACATTTGAATAAAGTAGTGCTGAAAAGACCCTTTCCACCAGCATTAGATGTCTCACTTCTCATACCTGATTTCAATGATGCTTCTCTCTCTGCCTTGGGATCGCTCCTCCTCCCTGTAACTCTTGATCTTATTGCTTGCTGAGTTCCTCAGCCTTCCCACTGTGGATCTCAGACAATGAGCTGGACCAGTCTCAGGAGTGTTACACACTCAGTGGAGAGCTTGGAGAGTTGCCCCTGGTGTTCTCAGTATCTCACCAGTCAAAGGGGCTTGGCCAGTTCTGGCCTAAGCTTTGCATCACAGGGTCTAATACAGACCCAGGCTCTCCATGTCAACGAGTCAGTTTCAGTGAAAGGAGGTTTCACATTTACTGTACTTTTGGGGGGGTTGGGGGAAGGTACCGATGTGTTCTAAGACACACGAGGGAATTGGCTAGGAACAATGACTTATCAATTAACCAAACTCTTTTGGGGGAACCTAGAACATTTCAGGCATCTTAGACTCTAGGAGATTTTAATTTAGGTTAAGGAAAATAGAGGCAGGGCAAGCAAGGGGTGAGAACTTTGTAATAAGGAACCTGGGCACATGGAGAGACATTGTCTCAGGAGCAAGCTCAGCTTCCCCTGGGTGAAGCTGTCCTGTAAAGTGTCCAGTGACTTTCAGTCTGTCATTCCACAGGGGGTAGCTGGCTTCCCAGTGGACTCTGATCATCTGAAGAAAGAGGAAAGTCGACTATAATGGTCTTGATACTTACGATTCTGGGTCGGAAGGGTGGTTCCAGTTGGCGATGGTTCAGTTGGGCCCAGTCAATTTCCTTAAAGAAAGGATGTCTCAAGATAGCATGCTCTCCTCCCTGAGTCAGGCTGCCCAAGCGCATGGTGGGGTTCTTGGTCATGAACTGAGAGAGAGAAAGAGAGAGTCAGTCATTCCTTCATGTACAATAGCTATGTCACAAGACAGCAGGCATCAGTCCTGGCACACGAGCCCGTGGGAGGCTTTCCAGCTCATCTTGCTTGGTGAGCTGGATTTTCCATCACGGGTGGCACGGCCAGTATGAATCATGCCTTAAAGGCATGATTGCCTGTGTGGATTTATGCCTTTCCCCACTTCCATTTCAGACATGGCCACTAACGAAGGCTGAAGGGGCCAGTTTTCTTTTCTGTAAACACCAAGTATTTTTCTTTCCTCTTTAAAGAAAAGAAGCTCTTTGTGAAATCATGTGCCTTTCTCCAAAATTGCAGTTGTGGACAGACAGCAAGCATCTTATGAATGGGGCTACTTTTAGGAACAGCTGTGCCATTTTTCAGGGAGACCTGCTCAGCTGGCCAGGATTCTCCACTCTCAGAGAGAAGAGTGAGAGTCATTATCTCGGAACATCTGTATGAAGCAGCAGCGAGGGTGAAAAACTTAAAAAGTTCTGTATCAAGGAAAAACAAAGTTGGCTACTTTTCTTGATGTGGCAAAGATACCCTAGTTCTAGATGAATTTTTTTTCTTAATATGTCCCCTCTTCCATATTAAATGGGTTTAATGAATGAGAATTTGTTACTGCATAGACTAAAAAACTAAAATAAACGATGTCAAACATTCAAGCAATGTTTGCATATAAGTCGTCTCCCCCATGTTTTAATCAATGGGGAAAGTTCCTTGGTGCGCAGCTCTCATCAAGATATCTAGGCTAACTGTGTTTTTGCAAAATGCCCTTGATGTTTTGATTACTTTCTGACAAGGACCCATATAGGACGATAATTTTTTCATGGGCAGATTATGGTTTTCAATTTTAAAGACATTAAAACTAATTCAATTTCCAATTAAAAAAAAACTACCTTAGATAAAAAGTTTTGTCTTTATTAATCAAATTATCTTAAACAGACTTATGACAACTTACGGCAGCCCTGCAGCACCCCTTTCCAAATTTGAATTGTGAACACAAAAGTAATGCCATGTTTGTAGAAACTGCTCTGGAGTTGAATTTACAGAGTAAATAAAAAGAAAATCTTGTTGATGGTGCAGGCACACAAAAGTAGGATTTGGAGGTGGCTACCCCTGCCATGCAGGTGTCCAAACTGAAGAGCCTCCAGCGCCAGTTCAAATGAAAATGACATTGAGGAAGGAGGCTCTGCAGCACTTCCTAACCAGTCTGACGGAATATACTTTTTAAAATGCTTAAAAAAAAAGCATTGAAAGGGAATTAATTTTAAAAAAGGAGGACCCTGATAGGGCTTAGTAGCTTCTTCTCTCTCTAAGTGAGAAAGAATTAAAGGGCTGAGTGGCTACTGGTTTGGAGGTGGGACCCAAAACTAAATACGCATTCAAAGCTGAACAGGTCCAACCAGAGAAATTTCCACTCCAGGCATTAGAGTGGTTAACATGGACTCATGGACTCAGGAAGTAAGTGTCTTATAAATTACCCCATTCTGTAAGAACTGGTACTGCTTGGGATCTCTCTAGATAAACTTTCTTCTCCAAGAAAAAAGGGGAAATGCTTGCAAGAATGAAATGAGCAGATTCTCTCCTTGGGAAAATCAGTGGGATATAATCCCTGATGGACAAGTACTTGCTAGTCTATGAACTGATTGACAAATAACAATGCTTTAAAAATTAATTAATTTTTAAAAAAAGCAAAATCTCAGGAGACAAGGACAACAGAACCCACCCAGATGGCTTGTGGGAAATTCCCAGGCCTGCCAATGATGGGAGCAGAGGATATCATGTGAATACGTGGGTACAACTTGTTCTTCTGGGCAAGTGGAACAGTGCAGGCCACTATATGCCATGGGGGGCAGAGGTCCTGGTGGCTGGGAGACTTTGCCCATTCTTCCCTGGCCCTGGCACCAAATCAAAGCTTCCTTAGGGCACTGCGGAAAAGGCATTGCCTGAGAACAAGCAGACCAAGTCCCAGCAGTTCCTCCTCTGAAAACCACATATCTGGAAATCTGGAATAACCCTTTCACAAGCTTGATATTTGCTCTTGGGATACTTTTTTAAAAAATATTATTTACCTGTTAGATTTTTTTTCTAGTTGTAGATGGACAAAATACCTTATTTATTTATTTATTTATTTTTATGTGGTGCTGAGGATCAAACCCAGTGCTTCATACATGCCAGGTAAGCACTCTACCACTGAGCTATAACCCCAGCCCTCTCTTGGGATTCTTATAAATCCTTTTGAATAACCAAGCAGTTTTGTTTTGATTTTAATACACTGGCTTAAGCCCTTTAGATATAGCCCTCCTCCTCTTTAAATAACACACACAAACACATACACTCTCATTCTATTTACGAAGGTTTGCAGGGGGTCTGCTGAATGCACATATGCTGGTCTTGGAGGGGGGTGTGGAGATGCCAAAGACAGTGTCTCTCCATTAAGGAGCAAATCAAAAGAAGGGGAAGAGGCAAATGATCCTTCTAGTACACAGCTGGATGAAACAAAAAGAGACTTTAGACTTGCTAGATCTAGAGCTGGTCTAGGCAGACAGCACTGGGCTGATGGTGAGAAGGCAAGTGACAATAGCAGGGCAAAGGTGGCGTTTGACTGGAGATGAAGAGGATGAATAGAATCAGTTGTAGGCACGAAGGAAGACCACAGTCACGCCTGAGCATGCAGCCAGCACACGTGCACAAATGCAGAACATCTGCTGTATGAGCAGAAGGGCAGGGAGTCATACGGCTGGCACCGAGGGATTGCTGAGGAACTGCAGCCGGTCGGATCCATCAAAAGTTTACAGAGAGGTGAGTGACAAGAGCTGTCCTGTGATTTAGGAGATGACTATGCATGGAGAGGTAAGGATTGGTGGCTAAGTGAATAGTCATGAGGCTAACACAGGCTAGGGGACATAGAAGTCCAGAAACTCTGAGAGCTTCTAATTAATGGGAAGGGAAAGTTGGGAGCAAGTCCTCGAAGGCTTGTGGAAAAAGGAGCACAGTCCACCAACTGCATGGGGCTGGGGTGAAAAGTAGAGTCCAAGATCACAGAGTCCTCCCTGGCTATTTGATTGAGTGACAAGCAGGGAACAAGAGAGAAACAGCAGGTTATTATTGTGCAGTATTAGTATTAAAGGCAGTTTCAGCAGTCACAGTGTTTTTTTATCAGGGGAACAAAGACAAAAATAACTCGCCCTTCGGGAGATTGTGAAAAGTTGTCAGGATCAAAATGGAGTTACCTGTGTCAAAACTCTAACAATACAAACTAAATAAACTTGGGAGACTATGTCACAAAAGACTCTGACAAAAGACTCAGTATCCTTGCACAAAGGCCACTACAGTCTAACAGACAAAAATGCTTCTGCAAGGACATCTACCCCTAAAACTGCCTGTTCAACTCTAGACAGATGCCAACCTTGTTTTTATCCCTGGTAGCCAAGGATTACTGTTTCAAGTTAATTTATGTAATCCTCTTCTGGCCTGTAAAAACTTCCCTTGCCCCAACCTCCTTGAATAACCTCATAGTTTACTATGGCCGGTGCAATGTCAATTCTCAAGTAGGCTTATTAATCTTTGGCGATTCTTTCTCTGTTTGTTACTGGAGTTGACAAGATCTTACAGTCTTGCCAAATCTGGGAGGCTGATGAGCTCAGCTTTGCATTTGAGGCAGGCAGGCCCCACATGGAGATGCCTGTCCATGTAAATCTGGGGAGCAGGCCAGGGATCTACCTCTCAGAGACATTGACATTTGGGGAAGGTCGGGAGAGCCGAAGCTGGGAGAGCAGGCTAGACTGTGCGTGTGGAGAGTGAGAGAGAGAATGAACATGAATGGAAGATAAGTTCTAGCCCTCAGACACATTTATTTAGTCCACATAGTGTCTTTTAAAATAATTTTATAATTACTCATCCAACACTTAAAACTGGGAAATGTCACATCACATGAAAGTCAGGTTGTCCAAATTCTCTTGGAAAACGGGATACCCTGGGCCTGAGACTCCTTCACAGAAGGAGTTGAGCAGTGCCTGCCTCTTCTGGTGGGGTATAAGGTCCCTCGTTGGACACTCGTCACTCCACTCCCTAATACCAAACCTGGCTGACATCACTCGCTGACTTTCATGGCTTCTGGCCCCTACCCAGAGAGAGAAGAAAACCAGCTGGAGTAGAGCTGGAGGAGCTCAGGGGGGAAGACAAAGAGGACCCATTCCAAGGATGAGGAGGGGATGGGAGTGCTAAAGGAATAGTCATTTTGGGAGGAGAGACTTATATCCCCTCAATGACTACACCTCTCCAAAGAAGCAGAGACAGGGAGTTAAGGAAACATGCCACACCCGTTGCAGGCCTGAAATTGGTCCTGTAACACACTGGTGAGGGGGTGCAGAGTAGAAGGCTTGAAGGCCTTGTGGTCCTAGGCCCAGCACGGGATTCTCCCAAACACCCAGCTCCCGCTGCTGTGAATGGTGACAGCATAATGCTTTTACAGAGAAGTGGCTCTGTTTGCTTATGTCCCTAATGGAACGCAACTGCCAAAAAAGTTAACAGCAACGGTGTTTAGAGCCATCACTTTGGTCCTCATTGAAGGGTCACACTTAAAACTTGCCTCACCTCAACTGACCTTCTGCCTGACTGTGGTCCAAATGAGAAAGTCAGCCAAAAAGGAAAATAATGTGACTTCGTGGAAGATTCTGAACACATTTACCAAAGGAAGTAGAACATTCACTGGGGCCAACAAAAGCACTTTATAAGCTGCAGAGTGTGAGTGAGGGCCCAGGGGCAGAAAGTCTGATTCCACCCGAAATGCAGGCCTCACCCTGGAGAGCAGGAGACAGGGTCAAGGACTCCCCGAGTTACTTTGTATTCTCCTTCCTTCTGCGGCCCTCCTGGAAGTGGAACTGAACTCGAGGGTACAGAAGGACTCAGAGGCACACCTGGCCCTGAGAATGAGAAGCCAGCTCCACAATTCTTCCCACGTTGTGGA